AAGAAAATAAATAGAAGTTCAAATTTTTCCTACTCACATCCTGATGGATTGTCTTGCACATGCCACTGTGGAGACCACTGGCTAAGAAAACCTCAGTGAGGAATGATCTGGGTGTCCTCCGCTGGGGACCGTGTTACAAGCCCAGAAGTCTTCAACACCTGGCTCGGTACGAGTGACCTCCCCGTCTCTGGATCAGTGTTTTTAACATTCCTGACTTCATCGGGTATGCCTCCATCTGTGAACCTTGTTTGAACTAGTGCTCCCACTTTGATCTGCCTCTCAATGACTTTGTGCAGACCTGGAAAGCTCTCAGATGCTGTTGAAGATCTCCGATTTGTGTAACCCGATCCACCAACTGAGCAATACCAATTTTAAAGCGCTTGGGATGGTGCAAGAGATGAAGTAAAGTCGCTGGGACAGGACATGAGATGAAACACATTTGTCTGTTGCTTCCCGATGCCAGCTGAGTTGGCTGCGGTGCTCTTCATCTGGCGTACGGATGCTGAGCTTGGGAGGTGGAATCACACGCTCAGCTCTCACCTTGGGACCTAATTTAGGGAATGTTTCCGTGATCGGACTGTGCCGTGTAGCGCTGCATGTTTACTGTGAACCTATGGACTCTCGATCTAATTTCTCATGAGCGCTGTGATTCTTTTACATAAATGGCCGTGAAGTGTGGAGCATCCCCCACGGCCGGCGTTGCAGGTCTGCTCTGACCAAAAAAAGAAACCCCCTGTTGTGCGGAAAGGAAGGGGATGGTGATGTAGCGTCTCGTTTAAATGCTTCGGTGGAAGCCCCTTCTCTAAGCAAGCCCGAGCAGCTGCTGCAGGGCGAGGTGCTTCCCCCGGTGAGCCCGCGCTGTGGCTGCTGCAGGACAGCCGCACGGCTCTGCCCGCGGCAGGGCTCTCGTTATCCCCAGACGTGCTGCCGGGTGGGCAGGAGGAGCCGCCTGTGCTCCCTGCAGCCCCGCTGCCCCCGGCCCCTGCTCTGAGCGGGGGGAGGACGGGCCGTGGGCTCCCCAGGAGCCGTGAGGGGCTGGTTTGCTCTGCGGGGCCCGGGGTGCTGGTGCAGCTCCGGGATTCGCCCCAGGTTGGCCTTTTGCTGGGTTTTGCTGAGCGCAGCGCTGGGGCCTGGGGCCTGGGGCTTCCGCTGCCGGAGCCAAACCCTTCGTGTCCCTGGAGGCAGCCCCCGCCCCGGGGGTCGAGACAGAGACTGTGGAGCCAGGCCAAGGCAGCTCGAAGAGATTTGTTATTGCGAAGCGGGGGCGGTGTGTCCCCAGCGGCCCCTCACGGAGGCTCCTCCGGCCCTGCGGCGCTCCCTCACCCCTGCGGGTGCATCTGCAGCAGAAAAGACAGACATGGGTATTAAAAAGGACTCTGCGGGGCGTTTTAAACCTCAAGTTTCGGCTGAGCAAAACGTTAGGATAGAGTTTCGTTAAGTAATAACCACCTTTGTGTTTTGGGCATTTGGGATCAGAGAAGTCGAGGATTTTTGAATGCCTGAAAACCGATGGAGGAACCCAAATATCACTAGATTTCAGGCAGCTTAGCATGGAATGCAGGTGTTGGGAATAATGTGATGCAGATGCCACAAGAAGTTTTAAATTTCTGGTGCAGCCAGCTGTGGAGCAAGCCCGAAAAAGGCTTGATACAATGGGACTGTCTTTGTTTCACAGACTGAAAGCAAGCAGAAATAGCCAAAATCTGTTCTGTCGGCATTTCTGCTCCTCCAAAATCCTGCATCAAGAACTCCAGAAAAAGACCCCCAAGACAAAATCAGGCCATTTGCTCCCACCCCCGTCCTTGCTCCCTACCTTGTAAAGGCTTATTTTATCTGAACGTGAACCTCTCCCCCTCCCCACGTGTCCCGAGGGTTCGTTCATGTGCAGAGGACCCGACGTACCTTGCCCAGAGCAGACCCTGCTGCTGCTACTGCTTGCAGCTCCTGGATGGAGGCCGATAGGAGAGAATCCCCTTCCATTTTGCAGAATCCAAGGAGGTTAAGTTGGAGAATGAAGCCTCTCATGGACTCGGTGTCAAAGACCTTCAGGGGTCCCCTCCTCCCCAGCACTTCCTTTCTGAAGAGTTTTTCCCCGATCACGACGCAGGTTCCATCGTCGCCCCACCAGACTGACTGGAAGCAATGGCTGCCGACAATCTTCCAGAGCTTCATGAGGAACAGGCGGGCTGAAGACTGGTTGGTGTTGCCACAGATCATTTCTGGGAGGAGATAGTGTATGATGGGGGCCCAGGATTCATCAGGGGAACCTTGGAGGGCCTTTTCTTCTGCGAGAGGTCCGGTGGCAGCATCCCAAGAGGCTCCCAAATCGCCTCCTGGATGGTTGGGAGAAGATGAAGCTGCCCAGCGAGCTGGCTCCTCTGGGTCGGAAGCCCAGGATGCCTCCCGTGAAGGCGGCTCCATCTTAACTTGTTTTTTCACAGCTTGGCCAAAACGTCCATCCGTGGCCCTTTCCCCGACCAGCCAGGCTTGGTCCTGCGGGTCAGCGGCGTGCAGGGCCCTGGCACCAGCTGCCTGGGAAGTTCCCCGACGTCACCGTGACGCCTGTGTTGCATCGTGGTGACGTCACTGCGTGGCGCCTGTCTCCCGGCAGCAGGAAGCGGAAGACAGAAGAAATTGCTAGAAAGCCCTGTTCCCTTTTCATGGCTCTCCAGCTGTTTTGAGCCAAGAAGTGAATCCAGCTGTATTTGCATTTGGTGTGTCCTGCTGGGACAGTGCTGGTTCCCGTTGCCCCTGGGCGTTGGTGCCCAGGGAGGGATGGGGAAGGCTGCAGCGCTGGGCATCAAAGTGCCCCAGACCTGAAGTTTTTCCCTTGGGCACCTTCCCCCCATGCAGAAATGCCCGTACCCTCTTCTATGGAATAACCCCCGCTCTGTGATTTGAGTGGTGCTGCTTCTGTCGTGGTGTCCATGCACCCAGGAGATGCTGTGAGCATTCAGCAGGCTCTCCGTGCTGCTCCACAGAATGAACTATATGTGAAACACCACCTAAATATATTTTCCAGTTGAAACAAACTGGTGCACCGGCTCAGAACAAGGATTTCGGTTATTTCATACACAGCCATGGTGCAGCGCCACGCCGTGACTCAGGTAATGCCATCTTCCAGCTGAGCATCCCACAATTTCAGACTTAATGCAGTATTTTTTCATTCCCATAGGGACTTTTTGAGTACTGCCAGTGGAGAGTGGTAAATGGCCACTCTGCTCCACGGCTGCCTTTTGCTGATGGCAGAGGAGAGCCGCAAGCGGCACAGTTGCCTCCCTGGAGGGTGACATTTAATGAAAAACACCAGTATGTAAAATTACTGCTACAGCAGGGAGTCTCACTGCAAAAACTCAGCTTTTGGGTGTGAAAAAGGGGACTTAAGTGTCATAGCTTGATTTCTGGGCATTTTCTGTGTCCTGAGGATTGAGAAGTGCAGCAGGGCAGGGACATGGCTCAAGGTTGGAGGGGGCTTCTCTAGAAATATGTGAGCTCTTAGAAGAGCAAACTACTTTGAAATTAAAACTCACAGCCTGTGTTAGCAACTAAATTTGCCTGGACATATCAAAGCTATTTTATCCCCCTTATGACCCCTCACAGTGACACCTCCCTTAGACAAAAGCAAACCAAGAAGCCTACTAGATGTAACCTGTGATAAAGTCCTTGCAGGCATCTCCTCTCTACTCTCCTATCGCTACTTTAAGCCCTCCAATATTTTGCATTTCCGTTATCCCCACAGCAATGGAGCAGAGTTGGAGACAGAGCAGCATCGTGTGCCCCAGCACTTTCCTGATCGACAAAGTGGGGAAAAAAGCAAGAAAATGACTTTGAGATCGTTAAGAGCACTATTAAGTATGACATAAACCAGAAAAATTAATGCAAAGCTTTTATTCTGTTTATTTGACTCGGCAATAAAACCTATCAAGCTTTAGAGAACTCTCTTACTTTCACAAAATGTTCCCGAGCGCTTACTCCTACACCAGGGCACGAAGGAATAAATAATTAAATTTAACTCTACTTGTCAAATGAGCAGGATCACGGTTGGAAATCCAGCTGCTAGCATTGCACATACATGGTATTAATTTGAGGGGGGGGGGGTAGTGGTGGTGGGATTTTTTTAGGGGGGTGGTGACTGCTAAAGCTGAAATGTTCCCGAGAGCCTCTGCTGGGGTTTGCTGTGATTTCGGCATCTGATGTGATGACTGAAACGATAAAAATAAGTCCCCAAAAATGGCACTTAGGGATCTGGAAAAGGGATGTTGTTGCTCACCAGTGGGAATGAGGAATGGCCAAGTGCAGGCAGGGATGGGGGACCCCTGTCCCCATAGCCCAGGGTGCTCAGGGGTCCCCCCATGGCGTCTGTCTTCCCTGGGATTTGGGGAAGGAGTTGCCCATCAGCACCCAGCATATTGGGAAGGGGGAAGCCCCTGGCATATAGGGGACCCCATAGGTACCCTGGCACATGGGGGACCCCCAACCAGTGCCCGGCATCTGGGGAAGGGGGACCCCACAAACCCCTGGACCCATGGGAAGGGGGAACCCCCATCATCGCCGTGTACATGGGGAAGGGGGACCCCCACCAGACCCCCGGACTATGGGAAGGCAGACCCGCACAACGCCCTGTATATGGGGAGGGGGGACCCCACTGGCCCCCAGTCCCGTGGGGAAGGACCCCACTCATGCCCTGTATATCAAGCGAGTGGGGACCCCCATCAATGCCTTTCATATGAGGAAAGGGGGGCCGATACAACCTCTCCATATGGAAAAGGGGGACCCCCACTCCTGCCATGGATGTGGGCAGGATGGGGCCCACACGCTCGCTGTCACATCGCGGACTCCCGCCAGCGGCGCGTCCCCTTTAAGCGGGGGGGGGCGTGGCCTCTAGTGACGCGCTCTCCCTTATCGCTTCGCACCCGCGCCGCGCCGTGACGTCGCTCTGCCGCTTTAGCCCCGCCCCCTCCCGGCGCGCGCGCGATCCGCCGCCGGTGCAGCCCCGCCCCCGCGGGCCGCCCGGCCCCCCCCCCCCCCGCCCCGCCGGGCGCGATGCCGCGGGTCTACATCGGCCGCCTCAGCTACCAGGCGCGGGAGCGGGACGTGGAGCGGTTCTTCAAGGGCTACGGCAAGATCCTGGAGGTGGATCTCAAGAACGGGTGAGCGCGGCCCGGCCTGGCCCGGCCCGGCCCGGCCCGGCCTCCCCCGCCGCCCGCCGGCGGAGCGCGGCCTGGCCCGGGCCCTGGGCGGCGGCCGTGAGGGGCGGGTAGGGCGGCTGGGCTCCCCCTCGGGGCGGGCTGGGGGCCGGGGTCCCCGCCGGGGGAGGGCAGGGCGGCTGGGCCTCAGTGGCGATTCGGGTGGGGGGGGGGGGTGGGAGGACGCCTGGGTTTCCATGGTGACGGGGGGGGGGCAGGATGCTGGGCCTCTCTGGTGGGGGGGAGGGGGCAGAACGCCTGGGTCCCTGATTCAGTTATTGGGGGGCTGGGGGGGGGAGAGGAGCAGGTCAGTGGTGTCCCCTGAGCGGTTCCCCTGTGCCCCCCTCAGGATGAGAACCCAAGGGTGAGCCAGGCTGGAGGCTGGGACAACACCCTCCCCACCCCCCAACCCCCCCCCCCCCAACCTTTTAGGGGGGCAGAACACCCCCCCTTTGCAGGCACCGTTGCAGCAGCAGAGTCTGTTCTCGGAGCCCCCAGAGTGGGAGGCGCGGTGGCAGCAGCCAGGGGGGTGTCCTGCCCCCCCCAAAGCCCCGCGACAGCCCTGACGTACGGTGTGTGCTCTTACCTGTGTGCTGTTCCAGCAACTGACCCCTTCCTGCATCTGGAGGGTTTGGATCCTGCTCCACCAGGACTTGCCCAAGACATTCAAGTGTGGATTTTTCAAGAGAAAACAAATTGCTTTTTTTTGGTGTTTTTTTTTCCCCCCAACACTTAAAAGTCCCATGAGTGTTGGTGTCTTTAGTTTTTACAAGAAACCCAACTTGAAGTCTTGTTTAGGAAGGCTGAGTGGAATATGGATATTATTATTAGCCTGGAGAGCCAATTATTTATTTCACTTTAGAAGTGGAGGAGAGGAATTTCTTGTAAAAGTTAGTCCTTGAGCATATTAAAAAAAAAAAGGCTCATTAAGTTTTAATGCTGGTTGTACTGGTAGGTGGACATTTAACAGGGTCTATAAGATTAATAAAATCTGTTATTAAAGCAAACAAGTGTGCTTGTGTCAGTGTTTTAATCAACACAGCTTCAGATGGTATTGAAGATTGCCCATAACTGAAGTATTGGAGTGCTCCGTTTTCCAGACCCATTGTGTATCCTTGAAGGTGTTTGGGGGGGGGACCGAACAGAGACAGTTTTCCCGTTGCTATTTAAAATCTCCAGATCAAATATTTCTGTTTCATAGAGAGATGATGGGAAGAAAAAACCTCAACTTAGCAGATCTAGAACTGCCAAGTTCTGTGGCTGATGGGGCTGACGGACTTGTCATCTTGCTTTTATTGAAAAATACCTACCAAGGACCAGCCCTACGATCCCAGCTTGTCATTTAGAAATCATCTGTGGGGAGGTGGTGTGGGTGCAGGAGTTGACTTTTGGGTGTGCTTGAGCAGCCTAAACTTGTGGCATCTTAAGAATGAATGGTAACAGGTATAGAGGAGAGGAGGGCACAGCCTGCCTGTACCTAAAATTCAGGTGCAAACGCTTTATTCCAGAGCTAAAGTAATTTTTGTAACTTCACTTGGGGGAGACAGAGTTCAAAAGTTGCAGATAAAGGAAGGAATGCAGGAAATTTAAGATAATGTAATTGAGTTGTCATTCCCCTTGCTGTTTGCTGCTTTTGTAGCACATTGCTTTAGTTGTGGGTTAGATAGAGCTCAGTCTGGATTTCTGGGATTAATTTAACAATTTTATACATTTTTTAGTTTTATATTCTGAAGTTCTTTCAACAGGCTACTGTTGGTTTATAGTTAAATTCCGGTTTGACAAAAAATTTATTTGAGCTCTCAGGTTCTGTGTCTGTTCCTTGGGATAGCCTCACGCTCCACTTTTGCTGGGGTTCTCTGTGGTTTGCTTTGTTTGCCCCCTGATCCTTTCTCCAGGACTTATTTTTAGTAGTGCTTAGCAGATGATTAAAAATTACTGCATAGTGTTTGACTTAAGAGATTCTTCAGTTTCTTCTGGAAATTTGTGGGCTATCTTCGATGCTCAACCATCAGGAGATTAGCTGTTCAGTAGTTTAGCATTTAAGCTGAAATGCTTGAGCAAGAGGATGAAACCGCAATGTGATACAGTGGAGTCCTAAAAGCTTTGCTGGGTCTCACTTGCTGCTGATTGTAATTTAAGCTTGCAATTCAATGGCTTAAAGCAATGTTTACCTGAGAGAAGGATGGAGAAAATAAAAATCCAGTTTCTGTAGGATTCTCCATCGCAAGTTGCAATTTCTAATTGTATGCTCATAGTTTTCTTATTCTTTTTTTCTACTCAGAACTGCATTGGCAATCAGAGCTGTGCATGGCAGTAGTCTGTGTATTAAGTGACCAGAAAATTGGACTTTTCAGCCTGCTTTTTTTATGTCCTAAAAACATGCTAAAAGCTAGCTGTAATAACTCTTAAGAGCTGCAAGCTTTCATTGATGGGGAAATGAATCTGCAATCTCACTATCTTGAAAAATAGTTCTGCCCTGCCCTGCATCACCCTGCCCAGCTTTCAAGAATTCATGGCTTCATCCTCATAAGATATTTGCAAGACAGAGGGATGTAACTTCTCCAACAGATTGAGGAACGCTGATCAAAACTAAAAGCTTCAAACTTCAGTTCTTTCATTTAGCTAGGTTCAAAGTCTGTATTTGTTGCCCAGAAATAAGTGATTTGATTTCTTTGAACCATCCCCACCAAAATATTTAATGCTTATTAATTAGAGCAAATTATATTAAAAAAAAAAATCAAATTGGTGTCACAATGTAATGATACCCAGTATACCTAGATGACAGTAAAGTGACCTGCTAATGAATTGGGTTTTAATTCCTGTAGATTTGTGGATATTTTTTTTTTCCTTTGCTAATATTAGAGTGAATAAGGTGAGATTTTAATTTCTTTTTGCTTTGAGGCGTTCAGTTGTGCTAGAAGACCAGAGATTCTCAGCAGTGTTTGTCATTCGTGCAGAAGCTTACAAGAATCACTACCAAATCTTACATTTTAGTAGTTCAAGTATGGAAATTCCAGTATTTTTTTGAGGTTGTAACTTCAGCGACTCATTTAAATGAGTGTTTTGTTTCAAGCAGCCTGAAGATGCTTTTCCTTGATAACACCCTGCTGCTGGCTGTAGGCTCCTCTGCGCGGGAGGGCTGCGGGGCAGTGCTGCCCGTCTCCCTGCCCTCCCCTTCCTCGCCGCGGTGCGGGCGAGCGTACGGCTCAAGCAAGCAGCCCCAGTGGATCACGAGCTGTCTACGAGTTGATGGTCAGAAGTGTTTTTTAGGGCTGGACGCATTGCATTCTTTCTTCCAAGCAAAGCTGAAGCCAGGAATTGGTTTTTAATGCGTTTCCTCCGCTGTGGCTGGTCATGTCAGTGCCTGCCTGCCCCGACCTCGCTCATCCAGAGGCGCAGGAGGAACGGTGGAGGTGCCATGGGCTCGTTTTGAAAACATCTGTCCATACAAAGCAATTGTGTAATATGAAATTCAGAAAGGTGCCAAACCATCAACTTGATTTGTTGAGATGAGAGCAGGGTGAGAGGGGAGCAGGCCTCTCTTTGTTGGGAACCTGCAGAGCAGCTGCTGAATCTCCCCTGCAGCTGCAGGTCAGGCTCAGACGATTGCCACCCATCTAAACTTCATGGATTTCATGGCAACAGGCAGAGACCGCAGCTTTGAGGCCCTTCTTCAGCACATGGGTGTTGTGCTTTTGGGCTCCAGCAGCAGCCATTGATGAGTAGTGGGAAAAAATTGGCCTATGGGGAATGCCATAGAGGTGGGCTGGTGTGGAGAGGGGATGCAGAGCCAGCTGAGAGGATCCATTGGGCTTTGAAAACGATGCAGGCAGGGGAGCAGCTGAAAGGAGGAGAAAGATGAGGGTCTGCCTTTTATTTCATGTATTAAGCAATTTTAGAAAATTACACTTTTCCTTTCACTTTGGATTTAAAACCCCAAACCCCCACCTTTTATGAGGTTCAGTCTATTGGAATCGCTCAGGGTAAGGACATACTTCTGTGGCTTTTTTCCTTTTTTTGATACATGAACAGAAAATGGTGTAGCTTCACATTAGCTGAAGTAAATTGCATTGACATTTTTAGTAAGTAGTCTTATGCCACATATGAAGTAGTAATAGTAGGCATTTAAAAAAAGATTTACTTGCAGTGCCATCATTGTAGCAGGTTCTGCTTGCTGTGGTTAAGGCTGTGTCAGCAGTTGTGGCTTTCTGTGGTATAAAACTGTGCTTCTGAAGGTTTTTATTAATGTTTTTAGATCATACGGTACAATATTATACATATTTAACAGGTGGATCAGTATTTCTGAGTGATACGGGGTATGATTTTTAGTATTCTTTACATTAATGTAATCTCGAGGTTTGTACGAGCTTGCTTGTTTGTCTTGAAGAAATTAGAAGTTTCTTCTTGTAACTTTTGCTTTTCCATCAGTTATATCTTATTCTAGGGGTTACTTGCATTTTACATATTCTCAGATGAAAGAGGCAAACAGCATAGGGTAAATGATAAGCATTCCCTTTTAGAATGAGTGAAGAGGAAAAAAAAAAAAAAATGCTAATGCTTTTCATCACTGTTTGGCCAGACAAAGTCCTGTTGATGTAGGACTGCCTTGGGAGCAAAATCCCGTGGGAGGCCAAGGGGAGGAACTGGTGTCAGCCCACTGGTGCTGGGCAGTGAGGTGATGCTGGAGGTGCTGTGTTTGTTTGGCGTGTGGTACGGGTGACTGAGTGCCCCCCAAGCAGCTTCTGGGTGCCCTTCTGGGAAGAGCAAGTTCAGTGCTGTGCTATGATCAAATTCAGATATTCCTCCATTACTCTAGCTTCAAATGCCTGTGCGTTTATTGTCTTGCAAGTGTTGGTGTGTATGAGGCACTTCACCTTGTAAGTAATTGCTTTTAGGGTGAGATCTCATTTAAACGTTTGTGCTCACTTGCTCTAATTTTGGAATTGAAGAGAAGAAAGTTGCAATTTGAATGGTTTTCATAATGACTGTGATTGTTGTTATAAATCAATCATGCTTGTTTCTTCCATGAAACTACAGCACTTGCATGCAAAAGCAGCCATCCTATTTGTGGTGTTTGAAGTCATTCTTAAGTATTTTGTTAATACAGGTACCATTATACAGCAGAGCTGGTAGCGCCATGGTTGGAGGGGAGGTAGTGAGAAAGCTTAAAAATGAAGTGACCTGAAAGAGGAGGCCAGCGTTTTTGGATCAGCGGTTTGTTCTTCTGGATTATTTACGACACCAGCACTCACAAAGATTCCCCACTGTGGCTTGCTAAGACCCGAGTTCAGGATTATGTGTTTCCCTGCAGCAGCTGGGGAGGTTGCAGCGAAAGGCTCCCAGTTGTGCGTGGGGCTGCAGCATCCTCAGCTATTGCCTGGGGACTCTGGAGCCTGGATCTGCTCTTGGCAGGTACCTGGAGAAAAAGTAATTTCAACACCAGGCAGACCCTGAACTCTGATAAGCAGCACTCTGGTGCTTTTTGTCATCTTTCCCTGACCCGTTGGGATAATGGGCATCTACACAATGTTGGTTTTTAAATAGGTGTTTAACTCTTGTTAGGTTAGAAATTAACAGGCTCGAGTTTTGCTTCAGTGCTGCTGTGAATTTGCTCTGCAGCCGTAAGCAAGTCACCAGTTTGACCCTGAGTACCAGCTGTAAGAAATTATTTAAAAACCCTATGCTTGGTCTTTTGGGATCCCTAGCCAACAGGGATTAGGCACTTGCAGCAGCCTGACATTGTCACTGATGCCTGTGGCACCTCTGAAGATTAAGCTGGAAGCGCTGGCTTTAACTTTTCAGACAAGCAGTGGTCTGCACGCTTTTGCCTCTGTATTGTGTTTGGTTTTGGTAATAGGAAACCAATGCCAAAATGTTCAGTTGAATGTTGAAATTAAGCATTATATATTTTTTTCAATTTGTACCCTTCCTCTTGAGCTTGATCTGCCCATGACTTCCAAGTCTTGAGCAAGGCTAGTGCAGCAGATGTTTTCAACCGCAAAACTTTGTTCTTCTCTGGAGCTGTACCCTGTGCTGCCCTCGCAGGCCCTCTTGGCTGTTCCTCATTACTGTTGCTGGATTTTAAGTCCCTTAGCAAGGTTTGGACTCGCCATGTTCTCTGGGATGCTAGGACATTGGAAATATAGTAGGCATAAGCTACTTTCTCAGCAGTGCATGGGAAGCTGCAAGTATCTCTGGAGGTTGAAGATCCGGCCTGTTGCATGAGCACATTGCTTTTCTTACCCAAACCATCAGTACTGTCCACAGTCAAGAGTACAATTAGTCTGATTAAAACAAAATCCCTTTTCCTGACCTGCCTTTGTATTTTTTATCTTGTTGGATCTTTAATGCAGGGTGTACAGACCACTTGTGTTTGCAGAGCTGAACGAATATTTCCATCTGAAGTGTAGGAATTAAGGTAGCTTCCTAATAGAACCAGGAATGAACCCAGGGCTCTTCAAAAATCAGGATAAATCCTAATCCATGGAACAGATACTGGAATATCTGTCAGATGCCATTTCAGCTTCACTGCTGTTGAGCAGATTTATTGACCAAAGTGGCATAGCACCATTTTTGGTGGGTTTATGGGTGTAGTGCTCATGGCCTTGATCCCTTACGTAGCCATCGCGCAACCGATGTTCACCTGAAGGACATCATGCAGAGGCACGCTCTTCGGGCTCTGCAGAATCCTGCTGTGGGATGTGGGTTATTTTCGAGTACAGATACCTTGGGTTTAGTTCTTTCCGAGTGATTCTTTTTCTCCCCCCTCTCTCTAGGTACGGCTTTGTTGAGTTTGATGATCTGCGAGATGCAGATGATGCTGTTTATGAGCTAAATGGTAAAGATCTTTGTGGGGAGAGAGTGATCGTTGAGCATGCCAGAGGCCCACGTCGTGACAGCAGTTACGGTTCTGGACGCAGTAAGCACTAACATGCATTTGTATCTGTGACTTACTTTAAATAAAAAAGTTTTTACTCATTTTTTTAAAAAAAGTAATTTTAAAAGAAAATTATATGAAGTTGTGAATAGTTTTCTGTAACTGTAAATGTAACTTGATCTGAATATTGATTAACTTGTTTGTTGTATTAAACTATTTTAATTGATAAATTAATAAACACAATTTCTTGTACCATTTTTATTATTATCATTTTGTTTAACTATTTGAATGGTTTATTTGCAATGTGATGTTTAACATAGATTTAACAAAGACCTCAATGTTTTAATTAAAAGAGTCCTTTGAGGCTAAGATGACTGCCCGTTCCATTTGCTGACCTTGGGTTACCTTTCCATGAGTGGCTCTTTGACCTTTGTGGCCCTTGGCTGACCAAAAAAGGAAGCCATGTGACGACCGCAACCTTTTCCCATTAGACCTGGGTGGTGAGGATCCCAAGGGTTAGAGACAGATGAGATTAATCTGAAATAGGTGCCTGAAAAGCTTTATTCATGTCAGATATTCAGAAAGCCTTTAAGCAATGTAAGTAACATTAGTCAACTGGCTTAATTCGGTTTCTTCTTTCAAACTGCTTTAAATATAACTTAAATTTAATTGCATGTTAACTGTAGCGCAATTGTAATTATGTGCATTGTTTTAATTATGTGCTTGTAGTAAACTTTTTTTTAATGCTTTGGATCTTTTTAACATTTTATACAAGGGGGATTGAATTTAGACTAGCGGGTGGGTGAATTTTTAATGTATTTTGGGAGCATACGGGACAGAAGAGTTGTCGTCCAGGATGTAGAGCGAGCACTCCATTTCCCTAGTTGAAGTACTGCTGTCTGCTTGTCACCTCCTAAAGGTGGATATGGTTATAGAAGAAGCGGAAGAGATAAGTACGGTCCTCCTACCCGTACAGAATACAGATTGATTGTGGAAAATTTGTCAAGCCGCTGCAGTTGGCAAGATCTTAAGGTATGGGGCCCCTTTCTTTACCCTCTCTCTATTAAAGAGCACAAAGGGTAAAAAAGTTAGCTTCCGTTTCAACAAGGAAAACTGGTATACACCTGTGTTCTTTACTCCAACTTGTTAATAAAACTGTGTGCTCGTGTGCATACAAGTAGATTTTGGAAGTAATACGTGCATTAAGTCAATAGGGAAGTGTGTTTGCATATATGAAATCGTTAATGCGACATTGGGAGTTGCACCTGCAGGCTTAGTGTCACTGGACAGTGGGAGAATAACTTTTTTCCTTAACACAAACCAACATCACATACAAATGTGTTTTTTCTTACCTTTAAGCCCTGTCAAAATAGACTTTAATCATGCCAGTGGTAGGACTCACTAGAGATGGAGGAGTTTGCCCTTGTCACTTTGGATTTTACTCATCAACTTGTAAAGTGCCTTTGGAAGCAATAGCGTCGTTCTTGCACAGTCCCTGTTAAGAATTTCCACACCATGTAAAGCTGTTTTAAAGAGAGTTTCAGGGACAGGACACTTCCAGAATGAGCAATCGTGTAAAACCTCTGCCAAAAGCTAGTATTTTCTTAAGTCCAAAGGAGTGGAAGGTGACTCTCAGCAGTGGAAGTGTTGGGTAACACTGTGTAGCCCACAGTACCTCCGAGTACACTGGAGGTGAAGTGTTGATCTGTGATTATCTGCGTCATGGATTGAGGGGGCAGGACAGGGAGCAGAATTTCAATAGTAGGTACAAAAAGATAGTGTTTCCTTGTCAAACTTAGCAGCAACGGTTAAAAACACTTGTTCTTACAGGAACGCTTTCTTTTATGGCTCTCTTTTAAGGATGTGTAAAATTTGTTCTAAACAAACTTTGACGTAGTAGAAACTGGTCTGTAATTGAATATGTAACACTAGTTCAGGTACGTACTGAGATTCTTCAAATGTCTTTTGCTGTTAATGCTTCACACCATCAGTAGCTTGTCTTTGCTTCTGGTATTAAAAATTGTAAGTAGAGCATGGCATGATTAATCCTCTACTGGATGCGTTGCTTTTTTTTGACTAGCTTTTCATTTCAGTGTACTTAAGATGGGAGTAGCTGGGTTGAAACCAGACTGAACTGGAGCTCTGTGCCCCATTTCCACTGCAGCCAAAGTCCACAGCGGCTGAAAGATGGCCCTGTCTGACGGCTTGCTCGAAGCAGGGCAGGGTGGCCCTCCCTGATAAAGAGAGGTGTTCAGTAATTGAAACGGAGAAGCCAGGAAGCATGAAGTGGGGAAATAAATTGAGCTTTTACGTGTGTGGGGGTTTCTTCCAGCAGAATGAGAGCTGTTACCTAGGTGGAGGATGAAGGGTAGTCTGCTTGCCTGTAGTCTTCTTGCCTCTTCATATTCAAACTTGTTTATCACCTTTCCCAAGTTACCTTTGAAAACATGATTTAGAGAGCAAGCATTTTATTTCTTTAATCGCTTTTGTAATTTGAAACTTAACGTAGTCCGGAGAATATTTGATATTCAACTTAAGATGGGAGACCTTAAATTATCATTTGGCTCAAAATTATCAACACCACCTTGGTTCTATTCACACAAACTCTGTGAAATTGTAGCGTGTTATTTGGCTTGCTCAGAAACCTTGGTGTTAGCGCTGCAAATGCTCTTTGGTTAAAACCCTTGCTGACATCCATGTGAATAGAAGAGGCTAAGGGAGCGTCGTTGCAGAAATGAACAGGATCAGCCTGGAAGCCTGACTCTGGATTTGAGGCAATGGTTATTCTGTCCTCTTCCTCCAGGATTATATGCGTCAGGCAGGGGAAGTGACATATGCAGATGCACACAAAGGAAGGAAAAATGAAGGTGTGATTGAGTTCAAATCCTATTCTGACATGAAAAGAGCCCTTGAAAAGCTGGACGGGACAGAAGTAAATGGCAGAAAGATTAGATTAGTGGAAGACAGACCTGGATCGAGGCGGCGCCGCTCTTACTCCAGAAGCCGAAGCCATTCGAGGTATGTCTCTTTATAATGTAGCTTAGGCTGAATCTAGCTGCAATTACATGAATATAGAGGAGGTTCCAAAACGCTGTGGAAGGGTTCAGCGTTGTCAATAAATCTAGTTTTTGAGAATGGATTAGTTACCTGCATGTAAGCAAGGGAAATGAGGCCTCTGGTGAGTGTGCGTACCTGCGAGCTGAATACGCGGCAGCGTTCTAGCCTTGCTGCCTTGCAGGGGGGGCTGCGTGGCAGGTGGAGCTGTGTGTACAGAGAGAAACAGAAGGTGCTTTTAGCACTTTGGCTCTGAACACTGTGTTCTGCTATATAAGCACCAGGACGAACAGTTCTGTCTCAGCTTGGAAACCCCCACCCATTCCCTGTTTCTTAGAGATTTGTTGCTTTTGTTGTATGATTAAAAGAACTGCTTCAGCATGCAACACAATATTTTCCCCTTTCCATTCTGGGGTAGAATTTGGTGTTGCAAGAAAACTCAAACTTCTACTGTTCATAGAACAGATTGCTTGTGCAACCAAAGCCTGAGGTCAAAGCTTTATCTTTGTCACTGTATTCAAACTCTGACTGAATTTGGCAAGTGATTCTTGCATCCTTATCTTAAATAAGGTTGCATATTTTTTTCCAGATTAGCAACCCTGTTCACTTCCAGACGTGGCAGCAGTGGGGAGAAGGGTACTTTCGGTTTGTAACTGTATTGTGTAATGCTCTCATCATTCAGCTGCTTGAAAGGTGCTTTAATACTATGGGGTTTTACCCACAGGGGACCAGGGGATCACAGGCTCTCCGTAGGCATGTGCTAATGCTAAGTTGATTGGTTTTGTTCCAGGTCTCGCTCTCGAAGCAGACACTCTCATAAGAGCAGGAGCCGCAGTGCCAGTAGTAGTCGCTCCAAGAGTAGATCAAGATCCAGGTATGTCTTTGCATTGGAAGAAATGGGGACTACCCACTTAAATGAGAAGCATCATCCTAAGTTTGCAGTAGGAACGCTGTTCTTTCTTTTCCCTACCATATTATGCGCACTATTTAAGTGCTAGTCAAATGCAAGCTGCACTAAAGTGGAGCTGTCTGTTGCCTTTGCATTTTCAGGTCTGTGTCCCGTTCCAGAAGCAAGAGCCGTAGTCGAAGCAAGAGCCGTAGCAGAGGCCAAAAAGAGAAAAGCAGGACTCCAAGTAAAGAGGATAAAAGTAGGAGCCGCAGCAGGAGTGCAGAGAAATCCCGAAACAAAAGTAAAGATAAATCTGAGGGCACTCTCCATAACAGTGATGAGAAAGCAAAGAGCAGGAGCCGCAGCAAGGAAAAGAGTAGGAGCAGGAGTGGGAGTAAGGACAGGGGAGAGACGAGGGAGAGCATGAGGAGTAGGAGCAAGGAGAAAAGTAGAAGCAAAGACAGGGAGAAGAGCATTAGCAAGGCTAGAAGCAGGAGCAGGGATGAGAGTAGGAGCAGGAGCCACAGTAAGGATAAAAGGAAAAGTAGGAAGAGAAGCAGGGATGACAGCAGAAGCAGAAGCAGGAGCCGCAGCAAGAGTGAGAAAAGCAAGAGACGCAGCAAGCGAGACAGCAAACCAAGTAGCAAGAAGAAAAGGAAGGACAGCCACGAGCGGTCCAGGTCAGCCTCCAAAGAAAAGGAGCATCTAAAATCAGATTCTGACAAAAAGGAGGCAAAAGGTGAGGGTGAGGATGCAGCCACACGTCGCGTGTCTCGCTCCAGGTCTAGGTCGATTTCCAAGTCAAAACCAAATGTCAAATCAGATTCTCGTTCCAGGTCTAAATCTGTTTCGAAGCCTAGGTCCCGGTCCAAGTCTAGATCTAGGTCTGCCTCTAGGTCGCACTCCCGATCACGGTCAAGGTCTCGCTCCAGATCCTAACCTTGCTGCAACCACACTTGGAATGGTCGGAAAAGTCTTTTGTACATGTTTAGTAGTTGTAGCGCAAGTGATTGAAGTAGAAAACATGTCGATGCTGTATATTTTTAACAACCCTGATGGTATGTCTGTCACTGGTAACTGCAGCGCTCCCTCCCTGCAATGCTCTCTGGTGCAAGGCTGTTCAGCTCATTTTCTATCCTAGAGAAAGGTTCTCTTTAAATGGAACTCTTCCTAGAGCACCGAAATCGCCCTGCTTCCCAGGAGGAGCCTCGCAGAGAATGAGCACTGCACCTTGGTGGGTCTCTGAGATTGCAGTGATGACTGATAGGTAGGTATGACGGCTTCAACAGCCTTTGCCCTTGAATTGATGCCCTTCGATGTATGCCATTTAGTGGAAGTGCTAAGTCTTAAGTTTCATACTACTTCTGTTTCATATTTTTTGGACTTACAAAGTTGTGAATAGCACAGTCAAAAGGAAAAAGAAAAAAATAGGTATTTGCAGTAATCCATAGGGAAAAGAAGTATAGTTCCATATTCTGGTATTGTGACAATATTCTTGTTTTATATTAAATTTTTTTATTTTATTTTTCCCTGTCTTGCAAAGTACAGTGATTCCTGTTTCCATGAAATTTGAATAAAGACTATTTTTGCTTGATGACATTTGGTGGCGGTTACATGAGGCTGTGTTGTGATTGTCAGTGTTTTATATTGACTGGTCTAAGCTTGAATTTGCAGAAGAGTTACAGAGAATGGGGTCTGGGTTTTGAAAGCCACTTTGTATTAAATGTAGTCAGGTCACTCGAACAAAATCCAGTTACAGTAACTTGTTTCTCTAGAAACACTTACTGCATTGTTTGGAGCTTTAACATTGCAATAAGGAGAAGAATATAGAAAAACAAGCCAGAAGTAATAATGAACGTGACAAGCCTGTTTTCCACTGTCTGTAGAAATGAAATGCAGTGAGCTTCAACTTCCACAGTACAGGGAAGAAAATGTTTCACCCACTTAACTCGCTTGACTCAAGCCAGCTGAAACAATTGTTTGTCCCGCAACATTTTACGCATTGTACAGCTGATGCTGGAGGTAAGTGTGGCTAGCACAGAAAGCGTGCTTTTCTGCTCTTTGCTTTATTCTGTAGATCATCAGTTCAATTGTTTCCTCTTTCACACTGTTGGCCTTTCTTATGGTACCTTTGGGAAGTGAAGGGGAATGAAGCACAGTGCTTTTATGGGGGTTTTCTAGTCTAGCACACTCAGCAGCAGAACACGAAGCCGTCCCCGCTGTTTACTTCTGGTCGTTCTTTGATTTCATGATCCCTGATGGCAAGTTTAGGATTTCAGTCGTGAACCGTGATTTTCTAAATAGGACAGTGTTAGTCTGACCCAGGTGGGACAAAGATGTTCGGGACTTCCATGAACCACCCTTTGCCCGGGGCACTGCACAGCAGCTAGTATTTGTCTTAACGTCCCCCAAAACCACAGGGGGACATTGCAGCTTGGGGATTTCCAATCACAAATTGAAGTTTCAGTTCATGTATGGCCCTTTCCTGGAAGGGAGCTGCTACACAGAATCCCCGTCTCCTCTGAATTTGTGGTGCCCAGACGGGCTCTGCCATCTGACTGAAATTCCCCAGCACTCGCTTTCCCAGTCTGGCTTCTCTAGTTACACCCAGAGTAATTTGGAGTTGAGGCTGGAGCCTCAGCTTGTCTCTTCTCAGCATATTTTCCAGGAGTTTTTCCTCCTAATAAAAAACCCTGTGCTTGGGGGGAACCTTTATAAAAAAAAAAAAAAAAAAAGTATAGGATGTGCTTCTGAGGAGCTCTGGGCTTGGAAATACTGGGAGTGGTGGGAGCTGCTCGGCGGTGGCATGTCCCCAGCATCCCCATGGACATGGGGAAGCAGGCAGCTTCCAGCAGGAATTTTGTAGATGTTCCTGAATAATATCCCAATTTTAGACTTGGGCCATTAGCAAACTGCTCAAACTGAACTTTCCACAAGCTCTTCTGTTGCACAGGCGGCTTTGAATGAAGAACTGACGTCCCCAGCACCCCACTCTGCCTGCCAGCAATGTTCCAAAAAATAAAAGGCAAAATGTGAGTTTTTACTTGGTCTGGAAAAATAAAAAGGTTAGTTATGGCTTTATGAAAAACTTTTTCTTTAGCAAATTTTAAACTGTTAACAATACTTATGATAGCAGTTCTCGCAGTTAGTTGTTAACTTCATAGGTGCAAGTAATAGCGTATAATTTGATCATTTGAAACTTGCACTGCCATATTAAAAAGATGAAAGGGCAATAGATCATAAGAGTTGCTTTCAACACAAAATATTTCCATAGAGTTTAAGAGGGGTCAGGGCTTGGTGAGTGGCTCAGACTTTATCAAATGTCGTATTACTAAAGCAGCATGAGAAAGCTCTGCAAACGTGGTATTTAATTTCTTTAGAAGGAAAAGCCTTTTCCAGCCATATGTATTTAGTGCTTTAACATCTTAGGATCTCATAATAACATTTCTAATCCCTTTTGCTGCTTAATCTTAGTACAGAAACAAACCAGGCTAGGCAAGATGTTTGCTAATAGGGGATAATTAGCTATAAAATACCTTCAAGAAAATCTGCAAATGATAAAGTCTAGGCTAAGACTTTAAAAAGTGACTCTAGCTTTTGCTGTCTGGCTGCCAAGGCTGCTCCTAATGAAGTGAGGGTGGTTTTAGTGAGCCCTTTGGGAGAAACATTTCTTCCTTAAATACCTGAAGACAAGCCTTTGGAAATGGAGGTACGTGGAAAACTGGCCGAGGTGTAAATCTTCATTGTGTGCAGTAAGGGACATTGCCTGCAACAGGAAGGACAAAAATCCTTCGAGGTTTCATGCGTGAGCCCGGGCGATGTTCAAGGTCTGGAGCCAGGACCTGCCCTGCGGGGAGGTTTTTGTGTGTCAGTAGGGTGTTAGTGTGGGGTCTTAATAGAATTACTTGTGAGTTCCCTGCTTTTGGTCCTGCCATTTTGAAAGCAGGTGAATGATTGTTGCAAGCAAATTATTGAGGGCTAAAAAAAACCCCAAGTTTTTATTAAAAAAAAGACATTTGAGAGTTGGGCAGCCTGAGATCAGTGCCTGTTTGCCCAAGTCTCTGCTTCTGTATCAGAAGGAGCCTTTGGCTTATCCTAATGGGGATGGCACATCAAAATATTACTTAAAGATACACCTATTTGGAAGCACTAAAATTTCAGTATGAATTTTAATTTCTGGATTTCAGTAAGAATTTTGTCACCTATCAGAGGCAGGGTCTTCTGCAAAGCCCAAGGTCGCTAAACCACTTCAGGCTCCTGCTACCTCCCCAAACCCTGCTCCGAGGCTGTGATCCAGCTGGATTTGTCCTGAATGTGAGTGACCCCCATGAATACCTGAGACTCTTCTCATACTTGACAGGAAGCCTGTACTTAAGCACTTGCTACAATTTGGGTCTGCACCCTTCTGTGCTTTGGCTTACCCCTAAATGTGTCCAGATCTAACTGGGGGCTGCAGTGACGGAGCAACCCCAGCAGCAGCATTACCTCCGTCCCAAGGACAAGCTGCTTCCTCAGCCTGCCAAGCCCCTTTTTTTTTTTTGTCTGGCTTGTGGTTACCATATCTCATACTATCACATGAAGTTGCAAAAAAAAAAAAAAGCCAGGAACCTGGCTGTGCCACCACATGCACCTGATGCAGCTATAACTTGTGCTGGGTACCCGCTCAGAAAAGTTGTGACAGGAGCAACAAGGGGGAGAGCATCTTCCTGAAGAGGTTTCGTTAGCTGCAACCATCAGGAAGGTGAAAAATTAAACCTTTGCCCCAACTCTGGGCTCTGGCCCTTTCTTGGGCATCCAATACCCCAGTGCCTTCCTGCAGCAAGGTCCCAGCGCTGGCAGCAGGACCAGCAAGTGGCTCTGCTGGGGCTGTGGCCCCATGTGTCCTGCTCTGGGGGGACCTGGCAATGCTCCCGTGGGGTGGATGAGGCAGGGAGGGGATGGCTGTCCCGAATTGCCCTGAGCTGCTGAGCAAAGCTGCCTTCAATGCCCTCATCCTGCTCCCTCCCAGCTGGGGCTTCCTTCCTCTGCTGTAAAGGCAGGCAGCAAAGGCAGCCTTTAGCAACAAGAGCTTTAAAGCAGGATTTAGCACATAAAAGGGGTTGCTGCCACTGTTTGCAGAAGGGAGAGAGGTTTGTATTAAGAAAACAAAAGGTGTCATTTCCTCCACCTCCTGCCTCTGTAGGGTGGGTGACTCCAGATGCCACTGAGTCCTCAGGGGTTGCCCACAGCCTCCTTGTCCCCCCCCTCCTGCTCTGCCCCGGGGGCTGCGTGGGAATGGGCTCCTTCAAGGACACAGCCCTGACCCCCATCACAGCCCAGGGCCCCCACTTGGAAGCTGAGATGATGATGGTCGTTGCCTTCAACATCTCTGCCCGTGGGCGCTCGTGGGTTCTGTGGGCTGGCGGGTCCTCAAACCTCTCCTGGTCCCTGTGTCCCCATCTTGACTGTGATCCCAGCATCTCTGCTCTTGTTCAAGAACTGAGACTTCCCTAAAATAACCCCGCAAGTTGCTGATGGCTGAGATGCTCCAATGTCCGGATGCTCCAGGTCTCATCCTGAGGGCACAGCGTTGCACCACCACCCCCTTTGCCACGTTTGGCCCTTCCCTGTCCCAAGAGAGCTGCTTTGGGCTGCAAAGCCCTCAATCACCTCGAGGTCTCAAGCCCAGGAGGTGGCACAAAATCCTCAGTGATCAACATTTTAAAAAGGCAAAAGAGCAGCACAGAAAATCAAAAACTTTTTTTTCCCACCACCCGCAGCTCAGGGGATGCCACAGTTCATGCAGAGCTGGTCTCCATGGGACACAAAAGCCTGCTGTAATCCAGGTGAGAGAAAACTCTTTCCCAAGCATTTTGGGTGCATTATGCTAAATTCTTACCTGAATTCGGCGGCTCTGGGAGGTGGCATCCAGCAGGACAGCACTGGCAGGGAGCATGTGAGGAGTCTCTTATTTCCTCATTTCACCCCTGCTAAATTTTTTGTCCAAAGGAAAAGGAAAACTATTTGAGACATGTCTAAAAAGCAGAAACAAATAGGAACACAGACACTTCCGTGTCATCTTCTCCTTTTGCTGCATGATCCTGGGTACCTCAGAGGGGCAGAGATGATGTGAAGCCTCAGCTTGCTGTCTGAACAGAGTGTGCCTCAGTTTCCCTACCAGAAGGATGGAAATATTGACTCGGGTCTGTCTGCTCTCAGGGTGATGGGTGTTACCACCTCCCCAGCCACCCTTTGCAGGAGCGCTCAGATGCTTTACCTTTACTGCCTGGGGAAGGGCAGCTGCCCGTGGGTGTGCTCATCCTCCCCAGGATGTTGGAGCAGGAATTTCCAGGGTAAGGACATTCTGGGGCACCTTATTCCCAATAATTAGGCTGAAGCATCGTAAGTGGCCCCCACGGCAGGGCAGAGTGGGTCACCGTGCCCGGCACGCCGCTGCCACCGGCACTGCCACGGGTAGCGATGGGCACGTGCCTCACTGGGTCCTGCTGTGTAATTTAATGTTCGTTACTGTCTCAGGGGTGTCTGAACATCACTGAGCGAGTCCCCCCCACCCCCCACTAATTTTGCATAAAAGGGTTGGGTTTGCATCTAAACCTTTG